TAAATATGTAAAGATATTTTTAGCCTAGCTAGAAATAGTCTCAAGAGTTTTGAAAGGGTTACGAGTAGTCGAGGCCATGCTTTGATCACATAAATATCCCATGTAATAATCCTAGACTGTTTGTAATTACTCTGGGTTCTTGATCTCTAGGGATTATCTATGGATGAAAATTCTATTGATCCCTGGTATATTGAATCTTCTATGTGTTTGTATATCTTCTACTGCATTCAGTAATTTTAATCCATCTCCTAGCCTTTGCCAAGTAATTTTCCAAATCAATTTCTTGGCTGCCACCAATTATATAAAATATTTATAGCATTTTTTTTCTAGTACTTTAAGTGCCACTTTTTCGATCCAATCATCAATAGCCAAACCTACGTGTTTTTAAGGTTTTGATTTCGGTGTTCCAGCTTGAAGAGTTCGTCACCTTAGTCTTTTGTTTTGCAGCGCCTTCTATGATGTCTTCATTAGCGTCGGACGCGCCGCCGCTGCTGCCGCTCTCGATAAGCGTTGGGGTGTTTAAGGCTTGGAAATCTGTTTTTAATAACCCCCAGAGTCGAGAGAGTGGAACTATTTTAATTAATTGAGTGAAACGAGAAAAAGCCTTTACTTCGGCAGTAGCCACTGGAACAATTTATATGCAAATCTGCAAGCTGCTGCTGCTGCTGCTGCTGCTGCTGTTGCCGCCTTGTGAGTGCATCGGATCGTAAAGATGCGTAGACTTAGAGAAATTCAATTTAAGCACTTCTCCTCTCCCTCCTCCACCGGAGATGCAGGAGCAGCATTGTTGGGACGCAGTTATTAAATTTGACAGTTTACAGTTGTCGATGGGACTTTGAAGAGTAGCCGCTGGCCGCCACAGCTGCCGCCTGCCACCGATATGCCACCGATACGATGCGGCTACTAAATTACATTGGAACTTGGTAAAATGATCAGCAGGTTGTTTGATTTTCTGGTGCAGCGACGGTTAGAGATGAAAGGCAGCGGCAAACGGTCAGGTTAAAGCGATTTCAATTAGCATTTTGATGGCTCTACAAATGAGCAGATAGAACAAAAAACTCACCGCCATTGATAGGCCATTGATAGCACATCATAAAGCAGGCAATCGTTTGTCGTTTTTTGTACGTTCGGCTGGGATGGAGAGTTTTACCCATTTCCATGAGGCGAGTCGCTGGTGTTGGGTGTGGTATTTACTTTATTGAAGGGGCTCTGCAAAACTATACGTTTTTCAGCGATGAAAAACTAAGCAGTTTAACTGTAGGTAGTTTCTGCCATTCACAGTTTTTGCATTGGTATTTGCACTGCGTCGAAATTCCAGAAAATATAAAAAGGATAAGAAAATATTGTTTCTAATTGATGGACATTTTTTAAGGTACTCCCATCAGTTTCTAGTATTTTAGTAGAAAGTACCAACCAAAAAACCACGTACGAAATTGCGTTTCTTAGTGACGAAATTTTTATATTTTCGAAATATCAATCACTTCTTAATACTTTTCGAAAAATACCGCAAAGTACCAAAAAAAAAATTTCTTAATAATTTCTTCTCTCACTTTTATTAAAGTAACAATTCAATTTTGCATTTCTGTACTTTCTTTGTACATTAACGCAGAATTAATAAAATACCACACAAATACCAACCGCTTAACTGTGCCAGAGAATGGCTTTATTTCCCTGATGTGAAGAACGAGTAGTAATTATATTTTTTTTTAGATTTCGCCTAAGAACCATCGGTGGAACACCTATCGTGTTTGCATCAGTTAAATCATTTTTGTTTTGGAATTTATGAAAACGTCACGCGATTTTCGAAAGACAACCCAAACCCGCCCATCAAAGTGGGTATCCAACTGAGCGAGCGCCCAGCCATTGACAATCTTTTTGGTAATTAAGTTTTTTTTGCCAAGTGACAAATTAATCGAACCGCCGCCAAATGCCACAAAATGCCGCAATGAGCGTCTGGCTCTCAGACGCCTGGCATTAATCAATGAGATGTCAAATTCAAACGCCACTCCATTTGTGGGGATGAATGCAATTTTTTTTCTAGCATATTTTTGCTAGGCCAAAAAAGCATTTGACAACCAACAAACGAGCGGACAACGCGTCAAGTTTTTTGTTTTTTCGGTTTGGCAATAAAATTGTAAGCATTTATCTCTTGTGTCCGCTTGTCTTTTGTGTATTGTGCGTAGACCCCAAAATAGGGTCTTACTTTTCTTTCTATTTATTTTTATTTTGTATTTTCTGTGTCTTTTTGCATTACAAATGAAAAGAGTATTGAGTTACCAAACGATTTGTCAACGTTTAGCTAGTTAGGTTGGGGAGGGGGTCGTACAGGGGGGTTCAACAATTTTGTTGCCTCGTTAAGATTTGTTGACACTTGTGTTAATGTTTTGTGTTTGTTTTTACCCCTACTCGGTGTCTGAGACTATTTTTTGTTGTATTTTTTGTTAGTTGCAAATCAAGTTGCAAAGACCACCTGGAAAGCCTGTCTGTTTGTTGGTGCATTGAGGGTTTTCGTGGAAGTGGTAAAAAGATCGATGGGAAGTGATCAACGTGTAAGGCAAATTGAGCTTAGAGGAGAGCCCTTAAGAGCCCCTGATTTATAGTAATTGCAGATTGCCTATAAATTGCTTAAATAAATCTAAGCAAATATAAAAATTCCATAGATTTATAAATAAAAGAATAAATGTTTTTAGATGACCAAGTTTTACTTTTATTAGTTTATTTAATCCTAAACCTATAGCACATTATTTTAAATTAATTTTAAAATTTGTAAAACATCCATCAGCGCTTCTTTTGCTCCCAAATCAAATATCCCTACCGCTAAAGATATATACCCACCTGTTGATCTGCGATCATTACTAGCTCTCGTTTCAGCCACTGCATTTCACCATCACTCTCTCACGAAAATATATCTCTCTCTCTCTCAATATCAAACGCCATGCCGCTTTGAGGGTCTTATCGCTGTATTTATGGTCAAAGCCATGGATCCCCAAACATTATCCGGACACTGTGCACCACTTAAGAGAGAGCGGACCTTTTATGTTTAATTTAATTATGTTAAAATCTGTTTCAATTCCAATACATTTAATTTGATTCGTTTCGATACGTTTCGAAGCTGCTGCGAAAATCCCATATAGTTATGGCACTGAACGAATCGTGTGTAATCCTCCAACTTCTGTTCCAATTTCCACCTAGAAATTCGATACACTTTTTACCAGACCATGACGAATGGTTTGCTCCCCAGTGTCAGTGTTAAATAAAATTAATAGAGAAATTAGGCAAAATGTTTCGAGAGCAGACACGGCCGCCGCCGCCGCCTTTAATTGGTTGGCATTAGTTTTGGGCTTTAAGTGGTGCTGGCCTGGCCTGCCCTTTGGGGGTCAGTGTGTGTGTGTGTTTTGTGTTGCCCACCCAGCAATTAGTCAATTAATGAAAAACCCATAAATATGCAGCTAACATTCATCGAATAGATAGCCAAAAAAAAAATACAGAAAAAAAGAAAAGGTCTCTTTTGGGAAATGGCAACTGCAACGGCTCTCTGCTGGCTGCTGCTGCTGACTGCTGGCCATAAATTAATAGTCCATTATTTCTAAATTTTTGTCCACTTCAAACTGTCGTCGCCGAGTCGCCTTCGTTTGCATTTTAATCTCTCGATTGCTGCCCCACAAATTAGTCCCCCCCATAGCCCCCATATAGCTGCATAGCTGGACTTTGTGTTGACTTGTCAGTGCGACCAATAATTTAGGCCAGGAGACAGCCTCCGTCGCAGTCACGGCTTCGACTCTCAATGGTTGACGTAATGCTGGGAAAACGAAAGCCAAAATATGCCCCAAACTTTTTTTTGGGTGGTAGAAAAAAATTATGTAAATAATTTTGTGGCTATACATTTTTCACACAAACAAAAAAATTAAAAAAATCGACGGATGGTAATGTGGAAACAAGGTTAACGTAGAGAATTTTTCGGATTATTGAGTTATTTCATTCAGGGAACTTCATTTTTGTATGTGTAATAATTTAATAAATTAAATTAATAAAATAAATTAAATTAAAATAAAGTGGAATAGCAGATCTGCTAAATAAATTCGTCTGAAACTCTAAGAATTCTTAAATTTTCTAGCCTGGTGGTAGCTTCTTGCAGTCTGATGGACAGCTTGTTTATACATTTATGCCTAAGAAACATTTTCAAGAGATTATAAATCATTTATTATATTTTTTAAGTGCACTTTTGGGACACCTGTTACCACTTAAACTATTCTAATGGTACCTAAAATCATCGTTTAGTTTATTTTTATATGATCTTTAACATTTTGCCATGCCTAATGCCTGTTCCCACACTTCCACAGTTATTTAAGGCCATATTTTATAACGTTTTGTTTTTTTATTCTGAAATACCAAGGCTATAGCCCTATTCAGACATGGCTATAACTTCCGACTAGTGTTTCCTTTTACCCAAAAGAACCAAACAATGTGTACAGTGTGCCCCAACCCTGAAAGTACAGAGTACCAAAGCCAAAAAAAAAACCTGACCACTTGAGAGACTTGAAAGAGTGGAAAGGCGGAGGAAGGGAGGGAGCGTGTGGATCGTGGAACTAACTCTGCGTTGGAAAAACGCTGTGGGCATTTTGCGAACTCATTTTCCGACTCAATCAAATCAAATAATTTATGCCTCGCAAAATTAACTTGGCCAAAAGAGTTGGAGTGGCCAAAAGAGTGGAGCTGCAGTGGACTGTGGCCAGTGGAGGTCATACACACATGTGTGTATACAGACTTGGGCTTAAGTCCCCCAAAGCGTACAGGCCATAAACTCTGTTGATTTTTCCATTTGTGAGACCCCAAAGCGATCGTTGGGATGCCTTGGAAAATTGCTTTGAAAGCGAAAAAGGCATAGAAGCATAGAAAATTAAAGCATTTTGCGTGTTTGATTTGTTGTCCAAGTGCGTGTGATTTTGTGTATTTACAATAAAACGAAAATTAAACAATAATAAAATTATACAGAAAAAATAAATTTAAGATTTTTTAAACAAATATATATACAATCTGAAATGTATGTAGAGAGTAGGGTTTAAAGCCTAAACAAAATCAAACTCAAAGCCATCCTCCTGGTAGTCGTATTCGCTGCCATCGCAGGTGACCTGAACGTACTTATCCGCGGACCATTTCTTGTACTCGTCGGGCATCAAAGTGGTCCACATAATATCGCTGAACACCTGCAGTGGCTTGGCGTTCTTCTCCTCCCAGCGTATGTGCATTAGTTTTTGCAAGCGATCCAAATTGCTGTGGTAACCGTTCAACGCTAGATGCTGCAACTTTGTGCATTCGGCCACCATTTCGAGCAGCTGATATTCACGCACTATTTCCCAGCCACTAAAGCTAAGGACCTCCATCTGGGCGCAGGGCATGTGCCGGCGCTCCAGGAAGAAATCATCGTGAAACCAATTCTCGCACACCAATTTCTTGAGCTGCGGCAGTTCGAGCAGCAAACTTTGATGCCAACGTGCCGGCAATTGCACCACCTCATTGTTGACGGCAATGCGTGTAATGGACTCACTTTTGGCCACAATAATCTGCTGGAAAATGGTCTCCTGATCGGCATGCAGCTGCCGCGAGTCATCAAAGCGTACGGCCAGCTTTTTGAGCTTGGGCAACTGCAAAACATCCGATATGACGGTCTCCACGCTGCTCAGATTGATCTTGAGCACCTCCAGATTCGGCAGCTTGATGTCCGTCAGCCGTACGCCGCTATCAAAATGATCGGTAATGTCCAGAACACGAAGCTGTGTCATGCTCAAGCAGATCTCCTGTATCCAGCGACTGTCCAATGGCACCGAATGGTACATCGAATTGAAGACGAGCTCCTCCAGCTTACGGAAACACCAGATATAGCCACCAGAGATGTTCATGCAGCTGGTCAAACGCCTCAGATTGGGCAGCATTTGTGTGAGATCACGTATATCATCATCGATGACGGTATTTGGATTGCCAGCCAGTATGCAGGTCTCCACACCCGGCAAACGTGTCACATTTATATCATTCAGATGTCGTATATAATCAAAGAACTCGGCAAACGAACCGACACCATCCTCATGGACATGCAGCTCCTTGAAACGATCAGCCATGTGATCCATAAAGAACACATAATCCTCGATATCCAGCAGGCCCAAAAATGGTGTATTCGGTCCGACAATCATGTTCAAACGCTTCTGCCAGATCTTGAGGATGTGTGGTATAAACTGTGGATACGCCCGGGCCATGCGCACCTGATCGCTCAGATTGTCAATGGCCTCAAAGATCTGCTCGAAGAATATGATGTGCAGATTGTCCACATAGTTGGGTTCACGTTCCTCCAGCGGCGGCAGACGGCATTCCTTGGCTCCCTCGATGATGCTCTTAAAGGCGGGATCGGCAAGTGTCAGCTCCATATTTAGTTTTTTTTTTTTCTCTATTTAAAAATTTTAACTACAATTTGTATTGTGGTGTTGCTTGCTCAAAGACTGCAGCTTGAATGTGTCGTCTGTCGGTACGGTTGAAGGGTTTTATGCAAAAATTAATAGCGAGCTACCTAGATTAGCTACCCGGCCGGATCACAGGCAGCGTAATTGAGGATACATAGGTAGCTGATACCTGCAGGTATGTATACCGATCATAGAAATGTGATTTCCGAGCAAACACATAAATTGTGGATAATCCTTATTTGACAGCTGGCCTGGCCAGGCCTGGCCTGCTCTCCAAAAATTGACACACAATTTTCGTAGGTAACTGCCATAGAGAGAGAGATAGATTTACCTGTGATGATTCGCTTGCACACTGCCTGCAATTTGTAAGCGTACTTTGTGGCTGTGGCTCTGGCTCTGGCTGCCTCTCTTATCTGTACAGTTATCGCTGCTGCTGCTGCTGCTGAAGTCTCGTCTCTAGTTTGCATATTACACGAGCACAGGCGTGTTCCTCCATGCAGCCGGATGCAGCGTTGCAAGTTGGCTAACAAAACGTGGTCAGCATGCTAGGCTTCTAGGAAATAGCCAAACAAATAAACCGAAGAAAAACGTATCAAAAGAAAAGAACAGAACGAATGGTAGCGTGGAGTGAACAATAATCTAATAGCACTGGACAACATGTGATAGCTTGTGACTAAATATATGCCTGAAAAAATGCTGCCGAGTGGCCTAGCTCATATATTTCACTTTATTCAGAGTCTCATCTTATAGGAAATTTATGCATTAAAAAATACATAACCTTTGATGTCGACCCAAATGTTAAACTGCAATCCTTTTATAGCACCTAAGCTCTGAAGCAAACAAGAAAAGAAAACAAAATACGTGTGGGGAACGTTTATTCTGGAAATCAAAGTGAACTGAGGCATTGATAGGCCATTTCGCACCCCCAAAGGTTTGTTTATTAGCACGCATTTGGCACCCGAACATTTCATTTGTGTGTCATTTTGTATCCACATTTGGTGGATATAAGGAAGAGTAGTTTGCTGCAGCAATGTGTGGATGTTCCAGTTCCCTGGTGTCTCTTCAGGTTCTGCTCTTCCTGCAGCTTCTGTTATTTCTCCAGGTTCTGCTTTCCATTCAGGTCCTGTTGCCCTTTCAGCTTCTGCTGTCTCTTCAGGTTCTGCATTTTCCTTCAGCTTCTGGTGCTGCGCTGCCGAGCCGTATGAATCCCAAGACACACACTGTAGGGACACATCAGTTCAAGGAAAACTACGATATGTTTTGGCCAACTGCCAAGCAATTCCCAAGCAGAGGAAATACAAAAAAATCAGTCGGAAATCAACGCAAAAATGACTTGACACTGGCATAAAAGATTGGAAATTATTTTAGTACAAAAATTACAAAATAAACTTTAAAAAATGTACCATAGAAAAAGGTTACCAAATAACTTGCCTTACATCTCAAATGGTGCTTCAAAAACTCTTACCAACGCGACTGAAAGAAATGTATAACCTGTAGCACAGTGTAATCAAAGTATCTGGGCAGCTTAGCGAGCGATTAGTGGCATCAGAATGGAATCAGAATGAAAGCCGTGGCAGAAGAGGTTCACACCATCTCTGTGGCTTACAGTTTCCTTCTTCTTTTTTGGGGTGTGAGTGCCATTGATAATTTCTAGATGCCCCTGGCCGGCCCCCCCTTCTGATGTTGTCAATTGTCATGGGCCCATACCCTTTGTCCGAGACTAATGGCATTGTTGTCAGCCTTGTCTGTGTTATGGCCTGTCAAAGCATAAAACTCGGCAAACAAACAATGCCAAACCCCACCAAAAAAAAAAAAAAACCTAATGTCTATATAATGCACATTTTTTTTTGGGTGAAAATATTTTCCATTTGTTCATATTTTTCAACAAGTTTTATTCTCAGGGAAAATCGTTTGCTTCACACGGGAAGCCAACCAACCAACCAACTAACCAATCGACTGACCGACCGACCTGTCTTTTTGGATGCAAATGCACTTGTCTTTTGGGGTCTCTCTCTCACTCTTTATATGTATGTTTTTTTGACTGTTTGTTGTCTGTTTATTTTTGTTTTTATCTGAGATCAGTGTCGATCAATGGGGCAGGCTGACTGCAAACGAATTGGGCAACATGACATACGGTTATGAGGCAAACAAGAAGCAGCAATCGAGCGATGTCTCGCGAGAGTCGCTCTGAGAGACTGTTTTAATAATTTTGACATAATCACATCACAACAATCTACCCATTGAAGGATGCCGGATTGAAGTGGTAAGACTGTGACTCCATCTCCCCCATGCCATCTCTGATTTGTTCATTTAAATGAATTACAATTTATCGTTATCTGTTCACAGAGATCTGAGACTCTTTTATTATTTTTGGGGGGCAAGCTTTAAATATTTTAAAATTTTCCTTCCATATCTTTGCAGGTAAGCGAGAAGAGCAGAACTTTCCAGACAGCTGCGCTCATAAAAACCTGGCGAGAAAACAAAAAAAAAAGGATCAGTGGTCAACGGCAGCAGCTGCTGTCAAAGCCAGGTAAAGCCCTTTTTGGGCCAAATTACTTCACACCTCCAGCAGGCAGGCGGGCTGGGCTGGCAGGCAGGCGGGGGAGGCGGAGTAGCCTGCACGTTTTCAAAATTCATTTGTTCTAAAACTTAATCAGCGAACGTCGCCTCGTACCGGGGGACAAGACAAGAAGTCGTGATTGCGCAACTCATAACTCACGAATAAAAACCAGAGCAAAAAGCAAAGAAAAACACAACTGCTACTTGAACTTGGCTTTGGGTTTGGGTTTTGTGGTGGCGAAAAGAGGGAGTGGTGTGTGATGTTTGTTGTTGGCTGCACACTTCACAGCGATCTTTGTGGCTCTCTTTTTTTGTACATTGTTTAATTAAAAAGGTAGCTGCCGAGCCGCTGCTGTTGCAACACGTACAAAGATGATGACAACAACATGAGGATGAGGCTTGAAGCTTGAGCAAGTAGCTAGAGGTAGAAACCAGAGGCAGTAGCTAGAGGCAAGAACCAGAGGCAGTAGCTAGAGGCAGGAACCAGAAGCAGTAGCTAGAGGCAGGAACCAGAGGCAGTAGCTAGAGGATGAACCTCGTGGCAGTAGCTTGAGGCCCAGAGCCAGCAGCCAGTCTTCATGCCGAAGTCGTCTTAAGGGGCAGCCGCTCTTCAAGTGACTCAAAAGGACGACACGTTTTGGCTTCTGTGTAGTCAGCGAGAGAGCTGTTGTTTGTTAGCTGTTGCTGTTGCGGCTGCGGCTGCGGCTGCTGCTGATGTGGCAGTGGCAGTTGCCGAGTTGCTAGAGTCAAAAGCAGTAGCAAAAGAGGTTGCAGTAGCAGTGGCAGAGGAAGGAGGAGGTTGCAGTCGAAGGAGAAGGGAAAAGAGAAGTAAAAGAGGCTGACAGTAGCAGTTGCAGCAGGAAAAGCAGAAGAGTTTGCAGTTGCAGTAGCAGTTGCAGTTGCAGACGCAGCCACAAGAGGCAGCGGCGCACCACTTGCCACAATTACGATTGGCGGAGACCCCCATAAGACCTTTCGACTTCATCTCCTCAGAAGCTGCTGCTTAATTTTTGAGACAGCCAGCGATTATATTGCTCCAGAAATATACGAAAATGATGGCTGCTACCGCTTACCATTGAAGGAATGAGAGTATGATGAAATGTGGAGAAGTTTGCGACGTTCTAAAAAGGAGCGACATTTGGCCATAAGGGAGGAACCTTTGTTTAAACTATTTAATGTATCTTGGAGCATTTATATTAAATAAAATAGTTAAATAAAATAATTAAATAAAATAATTAAATTAAATTATTAAAGGAATATTAAAGCAAAAGTTCTTGAATTTAAATTTAGGTGAAATTAAGTTTTGTCTGAAAAAATTGATCGGTTTGCACAGATAACTAAATGGCAGAGAAAATCTATAAAATGTTAAAAACTTAACTGGATCGTAAGAAGTTAAAGTAAAATGATTTTTTGTATTAAATATAATTTTTAATTTATTTTTATCCAATTTTTGAGCAAAAATAAAGACATAATTGTTAAACGTGAATAGTGGTCTAAAAGTAGTCTGCAAATACCATAACTCAGTGGAAACTCCAACAAATCTCTGCTCAGAAATGCTTTTAATTTCTTTAATCCATCTTTTCTTTATATCTACTAACTCCACAGGGTAACTAGCATTCGTTTGGAACATCTCCCTTCGCTTCTTAAGCAGCGCGCGTGGTGTTTATAATTCGCGAATCATGTTGCATTGTTCGGGGCGTCTGCTGCCGCTTGATTCCGTTTCTGTTTTCGGTGCGATGATGAGAGGAGCTTCACTTTTATGGGTCCCCGCCACTGGGCTCTCTTGCCACACAGCCATGATGTGGCACATTTCAGCCAGGGGGACTTGAACTTGCGAGCTCCTGTATGCCTCGCCCTTGCCTTTAACAATGACAATTGTTAGTGTCGGGTGCTGCTGCTGCTGCTGTTGTTGCTGCTTGCTGCTGCTTGCTGCAGCTTCTGCTGATTATTTTGACTTGATAACGAGCTAAACAATAAAAACAAGCATCTTCAGGCACCGCAAACAAACTGAACAAAACTCTTTTCGCCAGTCATGTTTATCAGGAGAGCACCAGACAGCAGTAACACCACAAGGATTTCTGCCAGTCTACAGTCTTTCAGTTCTCGTGTGTTGTAATCAATTTGAATGCCTTCGGACTTGAGGTTTTTCATTATACACTTTAAAGGTGGGGCATTACGGTTATGAGTAGATTTTTGTAGCGAAGAAAAATATAAATCTATGAAGCTAAAAATTATATAGTTTGGTGATCAATCTAATTTCTAATTTACCTAACACTTTTCGTAGACATTGACGTCCAGAAACGCAAAAAAAAAAACCGACTGGGAGGAACAGACGCGAAATACTTATAGTTGAGATAACGTCCAAATTGGAGCATTCTAGCGATCATATAACACTTTTTTCTAAAAAAAAAAAACTTCCGTATATCCAAAGACAATTCTATCCATAATTATAGTTCAATTTGAAATGCTTTTTTCTTTAAATTAAGATCAAAATTTATTCCTTTTATATTACATCTTACACAGGAAAAAATCTGAATCATTCTATATTGAATCTTTTAGTGTATTCCTGTTTTCGCCTGATATATTACATCTTCCACAGGATCCCATCTGAATCATTCTATAATGAATCTTTTAGTGTATTCCTGTCTTCGCCTCTCAACAACTTTAGTTTTCTCTCGTATTTTTTCGTTGAATTTGAGTT